ATCTCTGCTCTCCTTATAAGAAGTCTCTACCTTTCTGTCAGGACTAGTTTAACCAAACCTCCTAGATCAGAGTTATGGGCATTTTGTTTGGTGGGGAAATTTCCATTTAACTTTAAAATTACAACAAATGAATTCTTTTTTTAATTAAAATATTTTATTGGGGACTCTTATAGCTCTTCTAACAATCCATGAATGTGTCAAAGCATATCTGTACATATGCTGTACATTATTTTCTAAACATTTACTTTCTCCATAGCCAGTTCAAAGAGCAGTTGCAGAAGAGAAGACCGTTTACGCGCTGGAAGGAGGACCTGAGACACAGCCAACATCCCAAGCAGCAAAGGGTTGGGATGGGCAGCCACACCTGTCAGCAGATGTCCACTTGGGCTGAGACAAAACAGAGTGAGTCTGACACAAAATAAGAGTAATGACCCATTTTCCATGCTCCTCCGATGGCCAGGGTTAACCCTGTCTTTTTTTTATCATTTTATTGGGGGCTTGTACATCTCTCATCACAATCTATCCATCCATCCATGTGTCAAGCACATATGTTGCCATCATCATTTTCAAAACATTTTCTTTCTACTTGAGCCCTTGATATCAGCTCCTCTTTCCCCTACTCCCTACACCACCTTCCCTGCCTCATGAACCCTTGATAATTTGTAAATTTTTTTTCATGCCTTACACTGACCGCTGTCTCCCTTCACCCACTTTTCTGTTGTCTGTCCCCCGAGAGGGGGTTATATGTACATCACTGTGATCGGTTCCCCCTGTCTCCCACCACCTTCCCCCTTGTTATTGACGGTTTTTGTCTCTCTAAACACCTCTCGCACTACTTCAGTTGTCCCATACCACTTACAACTGCATGCTCGAAAAATTGGAACTCAGTCTGCTTTTGTTTAATTATCACATCTGAAATGGCTGGTGGGGTACCTTGTATTCAAGCTTTGAAAGCTAAATTTCAATTGATCTGAATTTTTTTTCTAAAATAAGTAATTTCTGGCAAGAAAGAACAAAACAATCAATAATAGGCCTCTACAATTGTACAATTATGTTTGACTTGATTAAACTATGGAATGATATGACACCTATTAACTCCCAATCTATAGCAAATTAAGACAAAACAAAATACCCCATAGATCCATGAATGGGTTTTGGGCTCACAATAAATCCTAGCTCCCACTTCAAGAATAATCAGTCCTTATATCAGGACCCTGCTTGATACTCACCTTCATGAAATGATCACTGAAGATAAGGGTGCTACCGCAAAGTGAAGTGAAGCAAGCAGATGGTGCCCGGCTATTAAGCAGAACAGTATCTGGGGTCTTAAAGGTTTGTATTCAAGCAAGCAGCCATCTGAGTGAGGAGTCAACTAAGTCCACATGGACGAAGCACACCTGCCTGTGTGGTCCGAAGATGACAAGGAAAAAACTGGAATATGGTGAGCAGGAGAAAAGCATCAGAGCAAAAATGATGAACTCCCAATTTTTACAGGGCTGTGGGGGTGGTGGGAGCCCAAACCCATCTGAAGAGCATCTCACCAGACCTAGCCACTGGCAAATCCTCTCTAACCCAAGGTAAGCGCAGGCAGAGACCATTGTAATCTTGATTATGCTGGATCAAACTCGACACTTGGCCAGTTGACCACCCGATTGGCTCGACCTAAATTTGTTCTGAGTGCAAGTATCTCTTACTTGTTCCAGGACTGGAATTTCTTCCCTGGCTTCTTGAAGGGTGTCTTTTCTTTCTTAAACATTATTTGTATTTTTGTCTTTACACTATTATGACTTTATCCTAACCGCCTTAGTGCAATTTAAAAATTGTATTCTGTTGGGTCTCTCAGCTGTGAAGCATAGGAGGAATAGATGCATAATGATATTCAATGGCCTCATATGCATGTGAAAGTTGGACATTGCTGAAGAAAGCAGATGGTGCCCGGCTATCAAAAGATATAGCGTCTGGGGTCTTAAAGGCTTGAAGGTAAACAAGCGGCCACCTAGCTCAGAAGAAACAAAGCCCACATGGAAGAACACACCAACCTGTGTGATCACGAGGTGCCAAAGAGATGTTATCAGGCATC